CCGGGGGGGGATTTAACAGCCGGGCCGAGGCGGTGCTGAGGGCCAGGGTTTGGGGGTGGGATGGCAGGGGGTAGGGAGCGGTTGGGCTTGGAGGTCTTTTCCATCCTAAATGATTCCATGATTGTATGATTCCATGTTTACCTACTTGTTCTGCAGCAGAAATGGGGAGGGAGGGGCAGGACAAGCTATTTCAGCGCTGAGCTGTGAAAACGTTCCAGTAAGGAAAGGTGGGAATGGCCTCTCATTTCGCTGGATCTGTGACATAGTCTGGTGTTTTGGGTTGTTTTAAATCTGTTTCTGAACACGGATCCTCCCAAATCCCTCACTGCCCAACCCGACATGAACACCTCATGGATATTTACTGCTACATGATTCCTTTCTTACACCTCGGATTTTTTCCCAGCACCTTTGGTCCAACCTGACCCCAGGCAGCAGGGAGAGGACACGGTGGCAGAAGGGCTCAGACCTGGCTTAGTAACGAGGGTATGTGCGAAGCCTAACGGGGAGCGCCGCAGGCATCGTGGCCCCAAGCCTCGCCTTGCTCGCTGCCCAAAGTCCCTGCTCGTTACGCGGTGCCTGGCTGATTTTTTTTCCTGCTATTCAGCATGACGGAAAGTGTCAGTCCCAGGATATTCATGCTGTAAATAAAATACAGCTTGCTTTTTCCTTTTTATTTATTTTTGCATGTGTGTGTGTGTTCTGCTTTCCTGTCTCTCTCTCCTCCCAGTTAATCATCTGGTGTAGGGGAGACAGCAACAAAGAAAAATCCCATCTGTTGCAACTAATTGCTTCATTTTAATTTGGTGTCCCAACATTTTAATTAGGTACTGGGACCACCTCCCCTTTATGGCCAAAAAAAAAAAAACAAAATAGGAAAGAAAAATATATTTCGCGATCCCGTACAATGACGGAGAAGAAAAATACATGGAAAAAATACGTCTCAAAATTAAGTTAGAGATCTCCTTTTGCTGTAAAACCCGCAGGCAGCGCCTATTTCTACGCCTTTCTACAGAGGCGTTGGTAGGGATGCGCGCGCCATCTGCGGTACTGCGCATCGCGCACGCGTCCGCAGCCATAAATGCGCTTTATGGAATGTATTTTAAATCTTTAATAACACTGGCATGAATTATTAACGCCCACCCTGACCTAATGTTCGCTCGTTATGACTCGTTGCTCTCCAGCATCTTCCACCCCCCAGCGCTCGCCCACCGCAGCGGATGGGCGTTGGGCTGTGGGGAGGGGGCTCGCGGTCCCACCCCACTTTGCTGGGTCTGGAAGTAGCGCAGGGGCTCGGTGCTGGTGAGGCTGCCCCTCGGATGCTGGGGTCAGTTTTGGGCCCCTCACTACCAGAAAGATGTTGTGTTGGTGGAGCGTGTCCAGAGCAGAGCAAGAAAGCTGGGGAGGGGTCTGGAGCCCCAGGCTGCTGGGGAGCAGCTGGGGGAGCTGGGGGGGTTCAGCCTGGAGCAGAGGAGGCTGAGGGGAGCCCTCATTG